TTGCCTTTGCTATTCTCTATTTAACTTCTTTAATACATCTTCCATCTGATGTTAACAGGGTACTCAAGTATTCAAACATATCAACTTGTTTGTGGTTTGTCCCATTTACTTTGATGCCGCGTTTTGGAGGGTCAGTTTTCTTTGTAATTACCATTGCTTCTGCTGTTCTTATAGCTGAGTTTAGTTAATTAGGAGTGAGGCCATGCGCATCATGCTTGGATGCACACAAATACAAATGTCCCTTTTCCACACCTTTAGGTGTATAGGGCATATAGGGCTAGACCTTGATTTATATAGACCAATCAACAAACAATGGGTGATGTGGTCAGCATCATGCCAGCCGCCTTTACCTCCCTGGACTGCACTCGGTACCCACTCAAGACTAGGTCGACCTGGGAGTCAAGTTAATTTTTTGAAAAAATTACGGCTCCGCCAAGGAGCGAACCCACTACCTTCGGATCCGCACGCTAGCGTTCTTTCAGAGTATGGGTTCCCTATCTGATCTTTCGTAGTCCATGTGATTCCATAGAGCCTTCACCACATCCACTTTCCCATATAGTAGCTCACCGCCCAAGATCGACTTCAATTCCCCAGGTTATCTCGTATAGTTCGGTATCTCTTAGCAGAACTGAGAGCTGCCTGCCTAGAGAATCTCACAAAGCACGAACTCGATAGCTTCAGCCACGATCCACATATATCTTCTAAAAACGTGAACTTCTTCTTCTTCTTTCGTTCGCTTGAAATAGATTATCCATTTCTGCAATGTTGTCTTTAGTATGAACTTCACTGTCTGTTGTAGTTTATAACATGTGGAGCTGAGTGACCCGCCAGTGAAAAGAATCCACGACTCTCACAGGCAGGCAGACGGCTTGATCACTATGACCACAACCTTGTGTTTCGTGCTTCCAATCGTATAGCTGTCTAACTCATTCCTCGGTCATCTGTACTGTCAATCGTTTCTAAACTATCTGTCCAACCTCAGTCCTGGGTCACGTGTACTGTCAATAGTTTCTAAACTATCTGTCTAACCACTGTCCTCAATCATCTGTACTGTCAATCATTTCTAAACTATCTGTTTAGCCGCAATCCTCGGCTATGTGTACTGTCAATCATTTTAAAACTATCTGTACATCTACCTCCTTGGTCATGTGCACTGCCAATAATTTCTAAGCCATCAGTCTAACCACATAACCACAGTCCTTGATCATGTGTACTGCCAATCATTTCTAAACTATCTCGAGAATACTGCTACCGGACTTCCCGAAGACCATTTATGAACTAATGCAGAGAGATGACTGAGGCTAGAGGAAATAATATGTCTAAGAATTTGTAAATGAGGAATTAGGTGTGGATCCGGAAGCGGGGGGGGGGGGGGGGGGGGAGTGAGAGAATGAGATCGACCTGTAAATAATCAGTGTGCTACGGAACCTGTTAGTGTTAGCATCTACATCTATGGAAATTTGCTGCGGGAGACGAAGCATCTATGGGTATGGCCGGAATGCTGTGATGTCGATTCTTAAATAAGTAATCAGTAAAATTAGCTACCTTAGTCCCCCCGCCTCCCTTGCCATCCAGCATGCCTTCTGACACAAACTCTTACGTTAGAGGGGATGGCAGGATCGCAAGCGTTTGCGTGGCTCAGAACAAAACTACACCCACGCGTGTTTCAATGCGTATGATCCAGAGGGGTCAGAGAGGTTCGGTGCGAAGGCAATGGCTCATTACAGAAGTCCACTGTGTGTGGAGTCACCTTTATTTTCATGCCGGGTCACGGGGGCGTAAATAGAAAGGAAAGAGCTGATATGTTGGCTGGATTCGCTATCACTACCGATGGTCAACCTATGGCTTTTGCTGATATTATAAATGCCCTCCAAAATTAGAAGGGCGGAGGACTTTGGGAGCAGTGAATCCACATCACTCGCCAGAATGATAGATTTGGGAGTTAAGATCGACATAGCAAAAAACGAGACGCACACCAGGCACATCAGAGTACATGTTAATCAACATAGAACTGGTACTATAAGCCATCGGACACTAGGGTTCAAACCGAGGGGAGGATCTGAACACCTGTGCACATGATGATAACCAAACTAACTAACTAACTAACTAACTAACTAACTAACTAACTAACTAACTAACTAACTAACTAACTAACTAACTAACTAACTAACTAACTAACTAACTAACGTAACCAAACTAACTAACTAAATTATATCACGAAGTACTCCAGTTCTTTCCGTCACATGACGTTCAGGCTATGGGCTAATTTATTTCGTTTCGTCCCCCCCCCCCCTCTTCTCTCTTTTCCCAGGTCTATCCACGGTGTTCTTATCTTCTTCTTCACTTCCTATTTTACTGCTTTGTGTGTCGGGGGAGATATAAAGGTTCTGCTTTTTTGTTCTTCTGGCTAACTCGATCGTTGACACATTGTGCTGTTTTAGATGTTTTGATGTTATCTTTCCATCTTATTCTTAGTCTAATTTATGCTCTGCGTCTGTCTCTTCTTTGGGAATATGCCTTGTATTGCATGGCGTCACAGAGCATTCTATCTAGTGTGCAAGCCATCCGATTTACTGTCTTTGTATGTAAGTTAGAACTCGTTTTGTGTCCAAGGTGACTATTTTTTCTTGTTTGTTGAGTGACCATATAGAGTGGGGATGAATATGCTTGGTATGAGATGTTTCTTTTTGCTGATCGAGAAAGTCTTTTGTTGTAAGAGAGGTACTGGTTGTCCCAAAACTTTGTTTACTTTATTAAATCCGAGGTTCATTTCTTGAGCTCCTCATTGTTCTATAATATCACATCTGCAGCTTTCACACATTGTTTACTAAGCTGCCGACTGTCCGTGATTGATTCTATACTGGCTCTGTATTGTTTATTAGGCTGCCGACTGTCCCTTATTGATTCTATACTGGCTCTGTATTGTTTATTAAGCTGTCGACTGTCCGTGATTGATTCTATACTGGCTCTGTATTGTTTATGAAGCTGCCGACTGTCCGTGATTGATTCTATACTGGCTCTGTATTGTTTATTAAGCTGTCGACTGTCCGTGATTGATTCTATACTGGCTCTGTATTGTTTGCTAATCTGCCGACTGTCCGTGATTGATTCTATACTGGCTCTGTATTGTTTACTAATCTGCCGACTGTCCGTGATTGATTCTATACTGGCTCTGTATTGTTTACTAATCTGCCGACTGTCCGTGATTGATTCTATACTGGCTCTGTATTGTTTACTAATCTGCCGACTGTCCGTGATTGATTCTATACTGGCTCTGTAGAGGCCATCGGGATCTCTTACTCTTGTAAAAGTAAAAGACCCTTTTCCACGCTTTATAGTATTTTAGGTATTTGGGCTAGACATGTATTTTATAGACCAATCGGCACTCTGTGGATGATGTGACCAACACTGGCCTCTTCATTGCCGATGAGCGCAGGCTGTCATGTTTTGCCATCTCACACGATCACCAGAATCACGGATTAGATCGGTGTTATTCTGTCGCCCCACACATATAGACAACCCATCCATATATGTATCTGTCTGCCTTTGTCGTACTTTCTTTCCGCCAATCTCGCCAGCTGGGACTTAGTTGTCGAGTCCATTCCTTCTCACAAGATCTTAACATTTGTGCATTCTTCTCAAAAACCCCATCAGCGATGTTAGGGTATCCTCTGCCAACGAATAAGTAAGGCGCCTCCTTCTCTCCTCTAGTCTACGAAACATCTTTCGACAGTGTGGAGTCCCTGTTTATCCCCCTCAGTGAGGGTAACGTGGAACCATGGGAGCAGATGGTGGATTGAACTTGAGAGCAGACGACATATAGTTGTTGTTCATGGTCCCGAGTTCCCCAATGGTAGGTAGGGGATTAACATATAGTGACAATGGCTGCAGTCACCCGACCAGTATTGTCACTGCTAGAAAGAAAAGCAATGGCAGACTACCTTCTAGACGCCAAGTGTAGTCACGACAACAGCAAAACTAGTAGTATATTTTACCCCAACCACGACATCACACAGAGCAATAAACACTCGATGACCCAAAGTGCCACCATGCGGATGAACAGAGATCACCCGTGGAGATATCCCGGAAACCGCGTTCGGCCTGGGTGGGGCTTCAAAATAACGAAAAATTACAAAATAATATCGACAAACAAAATGATAGTAATAATATATAGTTTATTTGTAAATGCAGCTGTGAATGTATCTTAAATGTTAAAAAAAAAAGTGAGGTCAAACAATGATGACATCAATCATCACGTTTTGTGTCTCTCTGCCCTTGGCCAGTTCTCAAAATTCGTTTGCGGCATCTGTCTCTAGTTCTAGGGATATATAATGTGGTAATCTCCCCTGGCTTCAAAAGTATCTTTACGTCCTTTTTCAGGATGAATTTTTTTTTTTAATTGAAGCCCCACCCTGGCTTTTGCCAGGGGCCGCAATATAGGCAGGCCATAAATATGGCTAATTGTCTGAACGCAGTTTCTGTGACCTCTCCACGGCTATCGTCATTCACATGGTGGCACTTTGTGTCATCGGGTGTTTATCGCTTGTGTGATGTCCTAGTGGGGTAGAAAGTCAGTCAGTCAGCCTGGCTTCAACATTCTTTATTGAATGTTTTCTCTGTGTGAACAATTTCCCTCACTTGTGGTTCAGTGAATGGGCACTTGACTAAGCGTCTGTAGTTTAAGGCCAGGTTAACATGGAATACATATTGTACAGGGAAACACTGAAGCTGCCTGTGCCTCCCTTCTTTGCACTGCCCTGTCTTTATTTGGCAATCTACTTTAGTTGTCACCATCGATACAAGTCTGATCGATATATCAATTACCCGGTTTCTATTATATATCCGTTAAAACGAATCCTCATGTTGCCTAGGACAATCAAAGATGTAAATAAGGCTGTATCTGTCTGTTTGGTTCTGTCTTTGTCATATAAGAAGGCTGCGGAATTTGATGTATTCGAGAAAAATTACATTTAAAAATTTGATGAAAATGTGCACCTTTCTCACTCGGTCAGATTGCTTAACTCTTCCCCGGCCTTCACCTCGCCTCTACATTCGGGACTAAAACCAAGTTCTAGATTCTTGGCTGTTACGAATCCAACATTTTGTCTAGCCATTAGCAACAGTAGATAGGCGTCAAGGGGTAGCTTGCTACTCGAGAAGGTTCGATTCCGAAATGGTCCTGGCGCTAGTTTCACGACCCATGCAAGAAAATTTACACCGTTGACTGTAGTCAGTACAGCAAAGGAGAAAGCTAGGATTGTGTGTAGAACGTCATATAACCGAATGTATACGAAGTCCCGTTCGACATTGTCCGGAGAGTTCAAAGTGCCACTGTAGTCGGTACTAGGCTCGAAAATACACTGAAACATATAGTTTTGAATATTCTGTAAACTCACAACATTCATCGCACAAAACAGTGGGGAATTGTAATAATCATTTCCTGTCTTTGATACCGAAACGCCATCGAACCCATTACCATATGATAATGGTTGCAGCAGCACGTGAGATTTCACCAATAGGAGCCCAAATATGGCTACAGCTACATTCGTTATTTTTAAAAACAAGTACAGCACAGTGTTGAAAAACGACTGTTTCTGTTTGGAGTAAGAGATTGCTTGAAAAATGTCTTGACATGTTTGATTCCGAATTCCTGCATCCACACACTGTGCAGCTTCCATGGATCTCAGGATCTGGCTTGGTTCTGCATGAGAGAAACTAGACATTAATGACCAGATGATGTATGGCAGTTTGAGGCAGACGGCAAGGATGAAAGTAACCAGGGATATGCGCGAATAGGTTTCCGTCACTGTAGACAAATAATCGTCGTCTTGTTTTATTGTTTCTTCTGCAGTAACAGGTCTAAATCTCTTACTCTCTCCAATCTCAACTGTCTCTCCAGTTTCATGACTTGCTAGATGATACAGCGTGGCTGCTTGAAACGTTTTATTGCCCTTGTCTTCGGCATTCTGCATGGCTTGGCTAAAAGCCGCTCCACAGATGGAGTGGGCGTATGATATCATTGCGCCGGTGAATTGAGTTGGAGTCCAGCAATTAGAAGTGTATTTTTGCATATTTTTGCCTTTAGCGGGACCTGGCCCTGTTGTTTGGTGGACCAAAGCTATTTGTGGGATCAGCCATGTTGTTGCTGAGATGACCAGCAACAGCGCCACACCCCATGTGTGGTTGTAGCGATCGACAACATCCTCGGTCAGTGAATATCGAGATATTTTCATGATTTAAGCCCTGGAACATACGTTAATACGGTGGTTATGAATGGGCTATTAAATTTAATTCATTCAAGAAATAAGAAGAAATAAGAGAGATGGGGGACGGGGGGACAGACAGACAGACAGACAGACAGACAGACAGACAGACAGACAGACAGACAGACAGACAGACAGACAGACAGACAGACAGACAGACAGACAGACAGACAGACAGACAGACAGACAGACAGACAGGCAGGCAGACAGACAGACAGACAGACAGACAGACAGACAGACAGACAGACAGACAGACAGACAGACAGACAGACAGACAGACAGACAGACAGACTGACAGACATACAGACAGGGGGGGGGGAGAGAGAGAGAGAGAGAGAGAGAGAGAGAGAGAGAGAGAGAGAGAGATCTTGATAACAGCTCTAATAAACAGTTACTAGACAGACAATGATAGTATACTGGTGACACATAATCACAAAACAGAAACTGGAATAAGAATGAAAGGGGTCTCGGTGCAAAACATGAGATTTAAATCTCTCTCTCTCTCTCTCTCTCTCTCTCTCTCTCTCTCTCTCTCTTTCTCTCTGTATGTGTGTGCGCGCGCGTGTGTGTGTGTGTGTGTGTCTCACCCCGCCGTCATCGGTGTCCTGATTATCTTCTTCTTCTTCTTCTTCTTCTTTGTTCCCCGACTGTAAGCTCAGGAGGAAAGACCTTGTTGATCGTGAATTTGGACTCTGGCTTTGTGTCAGGGCCTGAGTTTTGCATGTACATCCATTTTACTAACTTATTTGTGTACAGTTGGTTGTTCCTTGCCACTCGGGCAGATGTATTCCGACTTTGAAGGAGGTCCCCAGTTAATAGACCCCTACGACATGCTTGTTGGAGAGACAGTGGGTCTGTCCTTGTTTTGCCCACAATGGAGTCCCGAAACCCACACGTGGAGTCCTGATTATAACTTCTCAGGAGGTTGAATAGGATTTTTGGGATCTGACTTGTTGGTCTACCGTCCAGAGTGAGAATTTGTTAATCTGAAGATGGTACGGTAAACCGTTAGGTAGCAGTCTGGAAGGGACATACTGATCGATCGACTGTACATTTTGTATAAATACCACATGTAGTGGTATATAATTACCACATGAAGTGGTACAAACGTGTTAACAAGTAAATTTAGTGTAAGATGGTTAAAAAGCAATTCTTTAATTAGCGATGAGTGTAGGGAAGAGGACGAGGATGAGAACGAGAAAAAGAAGAAGAAGAAGAACAACAACAACAACAAATGAATAAATAGTGAATGAATAAATAAATAATCCAATAGCTTACCTCACAAATGATACGCTGTTTATTGACTGTTGCCGCAAGCACGACTTCGGTAACTCCACCAACTTTTAATGGCGCCAAATTCCGACTATCGGCACTGATGCTTGCTCTCTCTCTCTCTCTTGTTTGATACAGAAAAAAAAATAAAATCTAGCCACGTTCAATCCAAGCGGGACAGATGTGTGAGCTCTATTTGAGGTTCTTGTTTGAAAGGTTGCCGGGTGAGGGGGCACACAGCTGCAACCTTACCCGCATCGTGTGACTTTGTTGAGTGAGTTAGCTATAAGTACAGCGTAGATGCAGTAGTACTGGAGTAGGTAGAACTTTTCTCTAATGGCTGGGCCGACGAGCTGACGCACACTTCAGTATTAGGTGTAGAGGATTTTGGGGTGGGGGGGGGGGGGGGGTGGGTTAGCTTAGCACCCTGTAAATATTTAGAGGCTAGGAAGGGAGCTCAGGGGGTTGGGGTTGCACTTATCTTGTGTATTTGTAAAAAAATACTTCTTTTTCATCCCTTGGGTGTGTACAGAATACGGTGTTAGAACTATAACCTATAGAGTACTCAACACTCACTGGGTGATGTGGTTAGCACTGTGCTGTCCGCCTTTACTTCCCATGACTTTACCTGTTGCCCAGTTTAGGCTAAATCGACCAGGAAGTCAAGGGCATTTTTGGAGGGGAAAAATGGACTCAATCTAGAGGTGCATTAATAAAGTATGTACTGAATGGCAAATACACGTGGGTGACTCGAAGGGAATTAAAAATGTAGGACGTAGCATCACGCATTCCGACTTTGACTCCTAGGACTTTTCCCTGGCTTCCAGTTGAGGCTAAGTAGACCTGGCATCCAAGGTCATTTTTGAAATATGCACTAATAAAAAGTTCGTGTTAAAGTGCGAATAAATAGAAAGCACTCAATAGACACAATCTTTGTTTCAGAACATACTATTAGTAATAATAATAATAAAATATAAACAATAATAATATTAACAATAACAACAATAGTCTAATAGTAAATAATAATTAAAAAATAACACTAACAACAACAATAATAACAACAATAATGACAAAAATAATAACAAAAATAATAATAATAACAACAATAATAATACCTGTAGGAACAACCCCTAAATGAACCTCAAGCAGAAGCAGCAGCCACAGCCGCAGCATCAGTCGCAGACTAAGCAGCAGAAGAAAAAGAAATGATGGGGAAGAGAAGAGGGAGTTGTAAGAGCGTGAGAGGGAGGATCAAGAAGAAGAAAGGCAGAGGAGGACAAGAAGAAGAAGGGCGGAGAACGGGCAACAAGGGGAAAGAGGAGGACAAGAAGAAAAAAAAAGAAAAAGGAGACGATGAGAAATAAGTTGTGAAAGTCTGTTTCGTTATCAATGGGTTTGTTTAATCATAACAAATTATTGCTCAATACTGACACACACACACACCACGCGCAGGCACACACACCACACGCACGCACTGAAATTTTGTGAAGCAAGTGACCTCACACTTCACCTCCTCACATCCCAACCCCCTCCTCTCACCTCCCAGTTAGATAAAGAAGTCGAAAAGGGAAAAAGGGGGTAGGTGGCGGCCCCAGGTACAACTTTACCTTTTAAAAGTTTAGTTTTCCTAGCAGAACTAAATCCTTGGCATTCCAGGTCAGGCTGCACGTGTGTTCTCTGATGCGGTAAAAAACATCGCTTTTCTAACCCAGGCACCAAAATGTTGATTTCTACACTTCACAACTGACTGGCAGTGCGACTGTAAGCAAGGGGCCATCTATGGACAGAAGACAAATCATAAATGCTGTGCGAGAGACTAAATGCTGTGAGGCTTTCAGTTTCCTGGACAATTATTTGTATTACTGCAGAAGCCACCAGTCGTTACATCAGCCAGAACAGAATGGGAGTTGTTTGCCTAAAAACACTTGCAGACACACTCAGGAGGGGATCGGAGCACTTATGGTCGTGTCCGCTGTGTGATTAAGATGATCTATAAATGAAGAACGAACATATTCACAGAGCGAGTCTGAACCCAACAAGGATAGGAACGAGCATAGTTGCATGATAGATTTGAAATTGTGTGGATACGGTACTGACTGCATGTGGCATTGCATGGACGGACAGTGTGTGGTTATAGAACTGCGTGAATTTGAAATTGTGTGGATACGGTATTGACTGCATGTGGCATTGCATGGACGGACAGTGTGTGGTTATAAAACTGCGTAAATTTGAAATTGTGTGGATACGGTACTGACTGCATGTGGCATTGCATGGACGGACAGTGTGTGGGTATAATACTGCGTGAATTTGAAATTGTGTGGATATGGTACTGACTGCCTGTGGCATTGCATGGACGGACAGTGTGTGGGTATAATACTGCGTGAATTTGAAATTGTGTGGATGTTATATTTTGTAAATGTGATATTAAATAAAACAGTAACATGACATGGAGTCACCAAGTGGAAAGGGAGAACTTATAGATGAATGGATACAGCTGATATCTGCAGCAATGAACCTCAAAGGCTGGGAGTGTTGGAGAATAATAATTGTATGACATTCCATGGATTCCCCCCCCCCCCCCCCCCCAATTTGTTTTGTACACACACCACATCACACCATACACACACCACCCCACACAACTCACACACGCGTACGCGTGCACGCACGCACACACACCCAAGTTTTTCTCCGCCCCTCTCTCCCCAACTCTACCACTCTTAGGGATAATTGCATTGCGCTCAACCTTTTCCCCGATAATGTTGATTAATAATAACCGCCATTCTGTGGAATCTCATCATATAGCAAGGGAAGCACATAATGCGAAATTAGTTTGTGTCAACGCTAGTGTTAATGACTGGGAGCAGTCTCTACAGTAGCAATTGAGAGTGAACGATAATGTAATGCAGATTCTTACGTGAGGCAGAAATATACGTAGCTCATAGGTCCTGAAACCTGAGTGCTGATGCCCCTTGAGCGCCTTTCCCTTCCAACTTGTAAGGAAACTGAGCGCCCACTGGACTATAGATGTGAAAACAACCACCACCACCAAACTGAATGGACCTGAACAGATCTGCTTGTTGATTTGAGATTTGCCGATGACATGTCCCTCCCATCCCATGTATACAGACGCAAAATTGGGACTAAGCATGGACGTATGCAGTTTGATCTGTTCCATGGTAGATGTTACTTTAACAAAGTTATAGTGAGAAGTTCCTGGGGCAGACAGTGTTAAAGTAACAAAGTTACAGGAGAAAGTTCAAGATGACAAGATTAAATCAATAAGGCAGTTTCCCTTAGTGAAATCTCCACAGAAAAATGTCACGCACAATAATAGTTAATACTGACAAGGAAGGAGAAACATTCTTCTTCTTCTAGTCTTTGCCATGTGGTTTGTTAGTCATGTCTTTCCATAACCTTCGGTCCCATGTTTTTTTTAGTCATTTATGACACAAATGATCTTCCATACCACGCTATGAAACTGCCCAGCATCCCCTCCCTGTATCCCTGTCCCTCTTACAAATTTGGGAAACCCTCTTCAACATGGTTAAAATGACAAGTACCATTACAATGGCACATACAGAGTTAAATTGACAAGTACCTGGGGTAGAAAGAGTTATAGTAACAACTATCTGGAAGAGAAAAAAAAGTTAAAGTGAGAAGTTCCTGGGGCAGACAGTGTTAAAGTAACAACTACCTGG